AATTCCTTTACCTCTGAGCCAACAGCAGCCATCTGTGTCTACTGACAAGAGGTGTATTTATTTCTGGCTCCCCATGCAAAGCAGCCTCTTCCCACTGCTCCACCCAAAGCACCAACCTTAGCAGGAGGTGGAACTGATCTAGTCTCCCAGAAGCTGTGAATGTGTGTGCTCCATCCTGTTTGGGATTGCTGCACCAGCAGTCTCAGGGATCGCCATTACAACATACTCAGGCAAAATGAAGATGAATGCTGTGCAGTTCAGAAGCTTGCCCGTTTCCACACAGATCTGTTTGCCTGCATTGAATCTGCGCTGGAAAGTCAGGCTGCAAAGACCAGAGGAGGGCTGTTAATTCCACCTCTTTTTTTCTGCAGCGAACGACACAACCCATCCACCAAACCCAAGGCTATTTACAACTGACAAGGTTGCAAGAGTTTAAAAACACACATACACACACAATTAATGTATTCTCCTTCTGATTTATTACGAGCCAGCAGCGTATATAGCTCAGTCAATCATGAGGAGCAGTGTGGTCTCTTTGATTACAGAATCCAATTTCCAGCAAAGTCTGACAGCTGGTCCACAGCGGCCCCACAGGAAGCCACCAGACCAAAGAACCCGACCTCCACCCAAATTCTAGCATTATTATCCAGGGCAGAGGAGGGTACCCCCCCCAATCTTCAAGCAAGTTAGAATGCCAGATGAGGGTTGTGGTGGAAGGAGACGATTCAGCAAGAGTAGCCGCGTCCATGTAGGGGCATGGAAATGGAGACGGTGCCAGGGAGACTCTGCAGCACAACAAATCTGGTTTGACAAGAACTGCTTTCTGCACGTCCAGTTTGCTACCAAAGCAGTGTGCAAAAACTCACGAGACATCCAAGTAGCAACCTTTGGAATACGTGTCCTTGGAATGTTCCACAGTCCCAGAAACAAACAAACCCAGGATTCAAGTAATTTCAGTTAAGATAAGGAAGGAGTGGAAAATCTTCTTAGAATGCAGAAAAACTGGGGGCCCTTCCTAAAGGGCAAGTCCCTGAGGTGAACAGCAAAAAAAAAAAAAAAAAAAAAAAAAAAAAAAAAAAAAAAAAAAAAAAAAAAAAAAAAAAAAAAAAAAAAAAAAAAAAAAAAAAAAAAAAAAAAAAAAAACACAAGCCAGAGATAACTTTGGTTTTTCCAAGGCAAGCTGTCATCTCTCCTTCCAAAGGAAGAAGGTTCAGTGGCATCCATCTTTCCCTTGCCCCAGGGTCTTTGCCCCATTCAAGACAGAACAGGGGCAAAATCTAAAAACATTCATCCCCCCCTCCCAAGTCCCCCCACATCACCTTTTCAAAAAAACATTCATTTCCACCCAATTCCTCCTCCCCTCCAAAAAAGAGAAATATCCCATGTTTTTCTCGCTCCAGCAAGTATTTATTCAACTCACTCAGACAATGACCTGCATTTTTCAAAATGCCTGATGCAGCCAACTCTCCCTATTCCCTCAGCCTCATGTCCCAGCTCTGCCAAGAGGCAGGAGAATAGCCCTTTTCAGAGGTTAGCTACTGGCCCTCCAACTCTGCATGACAGGAGTGTGCTCTACACACAGTTCTCCCAGTACACACTTTTAGTGTGAATAGAGCAATGTGTGTGTTTTCCATGTGTGCACAGCACTGGTATGCATGAAATGAACCCCAAATGTTTGAGAGTGCATGTTCACATGTCCTAAAGTGCACATGCACGGAAAACATGCATGTTGCCCCAGTCACATAAATGGTGAGTGCGTGTACTGGGAGGATTGCACATAGCGCACACTCCTATTACATATGGCTGAAGTGCCAAAATCAAATGTCTGAAAAGGGCACAACTTAAAATGGGAAGCTGCAATCCAATCAACAGCTGCCCGGCGGTACCAAGATGAACCTGCCCGCCTCCACTGTCATTCTCCACTGTGCCGCACAGCAGCTCAGATGCCAACAGAGTGATCCACCGGATCCTGAGAAGAGGCAGGGGGCAAAGCCTTTTGGCACATCTGTCCCAAGACTGGTTCTAACTTGCAGCCTCAAAAGAATCTAAGGAAAAACAAAACAAAAATCTTTTTTAAAAATCATCCCTCCCCCACATGGTAATATAGCTGATTCAGGCTGTGCATGCGTACTGACATCTCATGATTTTTGCCCTTTTTCAAAACGGCGGATCTTTGTGTGTCCCAACTGCTTGCCCCAAGGCAGAATTAGACCACTGGACCATCTAGCTCAGTAATGTCTACTAAGAGAGGTGGAAGCTCTCCAGGGTCTTGGACAGAGGAAGGTCTTTCCTACTACTGCTACTTACTGGAGAGGAACTTGGGGTTTGCTGAATGCAAAGAAGATACCATAATGCTGAGCCACACAGCCATTCCCTACTTGTCACTGAGGAAATTAAGCCCAATGAATCCCATTCGTGCTTAGGACTTCAGGCTGATATTGCTGGAAAGGCCCAGCACTGACCCTAAAGGCCTGCTTTCCCGAAGAGCTTGTTCCATTCCCCAGTCAATTAATTCCTTTACCTCTGAGCCACCAGCAACCATCCGTGTCTACTGACAAGAGGTGTATTTATTTCTGGCTCCCCATGCAAAGCAGCCTCTTCCCACTGCTCCACCCAAAGCACCAACCTTAGCAGGAGGTGGAACTGATCTAGTCTCCCAGAAGCTGTGAATGTGTGTGCTCCATCCTGTTTGGGATTGCTGCACCAGCAGTCTCAGGGATCGCCGTTACAACATACTCAGGCAAAATGAAGATGAATGCTGTGCAGTTCAGAAGCTTGCCCGTTTCCACACAGATCTGTTTGCCTGCATTGAATCTGCGCTGGAAAGTCAGGCTACAAAGACCAGAGGAGGGCTGTTAATTCCACCTCTTTTTTTCTGCAGCGAACGACACAACCCATCCACCAAACCCAAGGCTATTTACAACTGACAAGGTTGCAAGAGTTTAAAAACACATATACACACACAATTAATGTATTCTCCTTCTGATTTATTACGAGCCAGCAGCGTATATAGCTCAGTCAACCATGAGGAGCAGTGTGGTCTCTTTATTTGATTACAGAATCCAATTTCCAGCAAAGTCTGACAGCTGGTCCACAGCCGCCCCACAGGAAGCCACCAGACCAAACAACCCCACCTCCACCCAAATTCTAGCATTATTATCCAGGGCAGAGGAGGGTACCCCCCAATCTTCAAGCAAGTTAGAATGCCAGATGAGGGTTGTGGTGGAAGGAGACGATTCAGCAAGAGTAGCCGCGTCCATGTAGGGGCATGGAAATGGAGACGGTGCCAGGGAGACTCTGCAGCACAACAAATCTGGTTTGACAAGAACTGCTTTCTGCACGTCCAGTTTGCTACCAAAGCAGTGTGCAAAAACTCACGAGACATCCAAGTAGCAACCTTTGGAATACGTGTCCTTGGAATGTTCCACAGTCCCAGAAACAAACAAACCCAGGATTCAAGTAATTTCAGTTAAGATAAGGAAGGAGTGGAAAATCTTCTTAGAATGCAGAAAAACTGGGGGCCCTTCCTAAAGGGCAAGTCCCTGAGGTGAACAGCAAAAAAAAAAAAAAAAAAAAAAAAACCAAGCCAGAGATAACTTTGGTTTTTCCAAGGCAAGCTGTCATCTCTCCTTCCAAAGGAAGAAGGTTCAGTGGCATCCATCTTTCCCTTGCCCCAGGGTCTTTGCCCCATTCAAGACAGAACAGGGGCAAAATCTAAAAACATTCATCCCCCCCTCCCAAGTCCCCCCACATCACCTTTTCAAAAAAACATTCATTTCCACCCAATTCCTCCTCCCCTCCAAAAAAGAGAAATATCCCATGTTTTTCTCGCTCCAGCAAGTATTTATTCAACTCACCCAGACAATGACCTGCATTTTTCAAAATGCCTGATGCAGCCAACTCTCCCTATTCCCTCAGCCTCATGTCCCAGCTCTGCCAAGAGGCAGGAGAATAGCCCTTTTCAGAGGTTAGCTACTGGCCCTCCAACTCTGCATGACAGGAGTGTGCTCTACACACAGTTCTCCCAGTACACACTTTTAGTGTGAATAGAGCAATGTGTGTGTTTTCCATGTGTGCACAGCACTGGTATGCATGAAATGAACCCCAAATGTTTGAGAGTGCATGTTCACATGTCCTAAAGTGCACATGCACGGAAAACATGCATGTTGCCCCAGTCACATAAATGGTGAGTGCGTGTACTGGGAGGATTGCACATAGCGCACACTCCTATTACATATGGCTGAAGTGCCAAAATCAAATGTCTGAAAAGGGCACAACTTAAAATGGGAAGCTGCAATCCAATCAACAGCTGCCCGGCGGTACCAAGATGAACCTGCCCGCCTCCACTGTCATTCTCCACTGTGCCGCACAGCAGCTCAGATGCCAACAGAGTGATCCACCGGATCCTGAGAAGAGGCAGGGGGCAAAGCCTTTTGGCACATCTGTCCCAAGACTGGTTCTAACTTGCAGCCTCAAAAGAATCTAAGGAAAAACAAAACAAAAATCTTTTTTAAAAATCATCCCTCCCCCACATGGTAATATAGCTGATTCAGGCTGTGCATGCGTACTGACATCTCATGATTTTTGCCCTTTTTCAAAACGGCGGATCTTTGTGTGTCCCAACTGCTTGCCCCAAACGGAACAGCAGTTCATTCCCCAATTAGATTCAGTACCCCATTCCTGTACCTGCCTCAACCACCTGAGCAGATGATTCTCCTCACCTCAAGGAAAAGAGCTGTGGCAATTTCAAATTCCCTTGCATTGAGAATGACACTGCAAAGTACCCTCCCTTGCAAAAAGGGCACTCTTGCCGACTCTTTGTGCCCAGGAGGACAAAAAGTTAAAAGTCTTTCCTGACTCCACCATTTCTTAGCCTGGCATTGGATCTGTAAGCAGTAACTTCATACCAAATTCCTGCAAAGATAAAGTGCAAATGCTACGGCACTAGGGGGCCATTCAGCAGCACTGCCAGTCATAAAAGAGTGGTGAATGTGGAAGAATTAGGAAATGACACAACAGCATTTCCGACAGCAAGGACAACACTTCCTGCAGCAGCTGCAACAGCATCCCGTGTTGCTGCCCCCTGTCGTCGCTTCCTCTTGACTCTTCCAGTGGAACGGTTCTGAAGAGCTTCCGCTGGGCATCTTGAGGCTGGCATAGGGATTATATGGGCTGGACCACGTCTCGTGGGTCTGGATCTTCTGATCACCCCACCCAGCATAGGCCTTCTGCTGCCTCAAGTCATTCTCCTTCTCCTGGGCCACTGTATAAGTGGGCAGAGTGCTGGGGTTGAAGAGGACAGTGTCCGGAGTCAGGTCATCGCCCAAATAGTACTTCAGGAAACCGTCCTTCAGTTGTGCTCGGGGGATGTTCACACTAGCATAGGGGTTTTCAATAATGACCCCGCGATCCATGGCTCCTCTGAGGTAGGGCAAGGCTGCCCCTCTAAGTCCTTGCCAAAGGTCACCAAAGATGGGTCTTCTGTTGCTCCGGGCAAAGTGCTGGAGAAGATCGTGGTACCAAAACAGTGCTCCCCTCTACAGTTAACAGGAGGCACATGCACCAGAACACAACTGCTTCTTCTGTTACCTTAGCAAAGCATCAGCCGGCCACCCCAGCCCTAGAAGAGAAGGATTTTTAAATGTTACTATCATTTCCTTTCCACATTCTAGCAAACAGTCCTCTGCACTAATTATTTTTCTCACATCCTTAGTATGTACTATAGTGTTTTTCCAGAGTGCTCAAAGCATTTCATGTCATTTGTACAGCGGGGGGAGAGAGAAAATAGAGAACGCCCAACACCCCTACTGGAAGACTTTCCCTGGGACGTAATTACCATCTCCTCTTGTGGTAAGGTGTGCAAGCAGCACTGCTTGTTTTGTTCCAGCAGGTGTTCAGCAACCGTTCAAAGCCTGTTCTAATCCTCATGGCAGCCTTGTAAAGTACGCTGGTACTAGCACCCCTATTAGGGTTGCCAACCTCCAGGTGATCGCTGGAGATCTCCTAGGATTACAACTGATCTCCAGGCGACAGAGATCAGTTCACCTGGAGAAAATGGCTGCTTTGGAAGGTGGACTCTATGGCACTGTACCCCACTGAAGTCCCTCCCCTCCTCAAACCCCACCCTTCTCAGGATCTACCCCAAAAAAGGTATTTCACAACCCAGAGCTGGCAACCCTGTCTGCCACGCTGACATGAATTTTATTGCAGTTAATTACTATTTACATTGTAAGCTGCCTTGAGTTTCTATAAGGCAGAAAGGCAGCTAATTAACATGTTAAATAAATGCATAAATATTATTATTATTACTATTATTAATTTGATTTGCTAATTGCCCTATCCCTGCTTGTGCAGGGCTCTGGACGATGTACCACAAAAAGGCATAAAGCCATAAAACAAATATACAAAGCATTAAAATTCCAATCGTAACAGAAAGTTAAAAGAAGACCAGGTTAAAAAGAAGTCCAAGATGGTGTCCCTAGAAATTACATCCCGATTCTGGACTGCCTGGACTGTAGCTGAGGCTGAAAAATAGCAGCCACCCTTTACATTCACGGTTGCGGTGATGTTTGAACCCAAGACCCATTCCCTTAACTACTCAACTAGATCCTTCCCAACAACCTTGTGAAGTCCACTTTTTTTTAGCATTTCAATTTCTATAAATGCTTTTATCACAAACCACCATCTCACCAGGCTTTACAGAATGTCAACAGGTGAAACTTTTCTCTGTTTCTGCTTCTCCAATGCCAGGAAAAGCCCTGGATATTTCATATTCCAGTTGTTGCACAGCTGTTAAAGGCACAAGGGCACTAAAGGCACTGTTGTTAAAGTCACAAGGGCTCTGCCAGAGGACAGTTGGCAATCGGCTGCTGGCCCAACATAGATTGGAAAGAATGGTCTAAAGGGAAATTGGTGGTAACAGGCTGTAATCGCTTAGGGTGGAAGAATAACTCTTGAGGTGGGAATGCCCAGATCAAGGAGAAGAGAGACAGATGGAGACCCTCACATAGACAGACCAAGAAACAAGAATGAGGGTAGGGAAGAGGGAGAATTGCCAAGTAAATAGGAAAAAAAACAGGTTTACCTTTACCTTTAGAAGCTGATTAATATAGATATTAAAAACCTCAGAAGAGAAAAGCCCTGCTGGATCAGACCAAATATTTATGTAGTCCAGCATACTCTTTCCTGCAGAGGCTGGCCAGATGCTCCTGAAAAGCCTACAAGCAGGGCACAAAGGCAAAAAACCCTCCTCTTAGCCCCCAGCAACTGGCATATAGAAGTTGCTCTGAACATGGAGGTTCCATTGAGTAATCTCAGCTATTCATATAGCAATCAGTGGACCTCTCCTCCTCTTCATCCCCCATGAATCCACTTTTAAAGCTATCCAAGCTAGAAGCCATCGCTACATCATGTGACAGTGAGTTCCACAAGCCAATTATACATTGCGTGAAGACTCCTTTCTTTTGTCTTAGCAGGATCTAACCTTTTGTACTGTGAAAAGTTCCACCTGCTGATTTTTCCAGTACATGCCCTGGCTTAAAGGTGCAGCTACGGAGACGAGTTGAGAAATGCCAGCTCAAATGGGAAAACCAGGTACGTTTCACTTTGCCTGTTTGATTCAAAATAACCAGCCAGTTTTTCGGCTGTAGTGCTCTGGTCCTTGGGCAGGCTTCCTAAACCAATATTTTTAGGTTTTGCTGAAAGCTGTTATCTGGCCTCCTCCCCTCTGTCCTGTGATAATGGTGTGGAATTTGAAAAGCACTCGGATGGAATGTAGGGGGAGCAGGAAAGGGAGGTAAAACTAACACCTGTTTTCTGGATGGTGGTGGAGGGCTTGTTAATAGACCTAGATCAGGCAGAAATTCTGCTGACAACCCCCCCACCCCATGTCACGTGTTGTTTCCATGCCAGGTTAAAAAACAAAGTCAGCAGCTACATTTCTATTCATGCCACAGGAACAAGGCCAGAGTTGGTTGTTGTTGTTTTAGTGGCAGCTTTATTCTAGTAGATGCCCAGGGCAATACTTAAAAAACTCCACCATCCATCGAAACACACACACACCTTTCCCTCCAAGCCATTTCTTAACAGTCCCTAGTAAAAAATTGATGTGTCATAGATGAACCCATCTGGCCCTGTAAACTCCTCAGGACAAGGACCCGACTCTTTCTGTCTCTTAAGAAAACAGCAGGGGCATTGAGGGCATCAAAGCGAAATCCTCCTGGGCATCAGGGAGGCCACCTGCAACCGGCCAATCTTCTGTCCCCGAACGTTTCAGGAAGAAGAACTTTGAAATACGCAGTTCGTCCTGGAAATGATGCGGGGAGGGACAAGCAGCTGCACCCTTCATATAAGTTATATGATATAACTCAACATCAAGACACACATCAAGATCATAGTCCTCCACACATTCAGGACTATGGAGCTTCAGACTGCAGGGTGCCTGATCGAAAGAAGAAGTCAGACCTTCGGCTTGGGATTCTCACGCCCCCCACGGACGGCGCCGCCAGCCTCCCAGCCACTCCACCTTTCGGCTTTGGAAGTCGGAGTCCCGCTTGCCCCAACCGGGCGAGCGTCGGAGGAGCCGCGCTGGCAGGCTGCCCACGTGGAGGGAACGGAACTCACCTCGCGTCCGGCGCGTCTCCACCAACGCCAAGCTCGCCACGCCGGATCTTGCCAGGCAGAAGCCGGGGCGCCCCGCCAGCCGTCGAGGGCCGGTCAAGAGTCGACGGCAGCAGGTCGGCGTGGCTTTGGGGCGACTCCTGCCGGATTTGCTTCAGGGCCCGCCTCTGGGAGGGAGGGCCTGGCCGGAGCTGCCTCGCCCTTGTGCCGCCTGGAAAACGACTCGGGGCCCCCTCCGCCAAAACCAATGAGGTCACCGATCGCTTTCGCTCTCCCCACCCAGGGGTGCGCCCGGCTGAGGCGACACCGCGCTTTTCACGGCTGGCCGGCCAGTAGGAATGTCGCCCCAGGCGCGTTTTCTTCTTCAGTTGCCGCAGCACCGGTCGCATTGCTGCCTGCCGCTCAGCCTTAACGAGAGAGCGCGCGCGCACTTGCAGCCCTCGTTGAGGCAGCGGTCATCCGTGCTGCTATTGTGTAATTGCTTAAAACAGCTAAGGGCTGTGCAGAATTTGAAGACCATATGGGAAAAGAGTGAGCTGCATGTACAAAGCGCTTTGCCCCTTGCGAGTAACCCACAAGTTCTCCCATGGAAACAGGCAGGAAGGAGCCAGGCACCCAGAAAATTTTGGGTGGTGGCCGCAATGTTCCCTCTAAGCTGTGGAGTCTTGTGAGCAAACAATCTACTCTGTGAGCTACCGGCATTCAAATTGTGAGCGAGCGATTTGGCTGCTGCACTGAACTAGTTTGCTCTGGAGCCATCTCTCCTGAGCTAGGGCAAAAATGTGTGAGCCGGAGGCTAAAAAACGGTGAGCTGGCTCACACTAACTCATCTTAGAGGGAATGGGGCGTTGGGAAATTGGGGTGGAGGAGCAGGGGAGAGTGCGAGAGAGAGATCTTGGCAGGCAGGTGAAAAAGAGAACAGTCTTTCCTTACTTGTTGGCACAACTACCACAGCGGGGGTTGTAGGGCATGGGCCATGAGTGATGGGGCATTGCTCCTAAATGCCCCACTGTGGCTAAGGGCCGGCAGGCACCCTAGGGTTGTGGCTGGATCCCCTCCCTCTGAAGGTATTGTTATTAATAATACATTGCATTTATTTATTTATTTATTTATTTATATCATGTTTTCAAGTATTCAGACAACTTCACACTATAGTGTATGGGTTCCAATTCCCACTCTGACATGGAAGCTTTCTGGGTAACCTTGGGCCAGTCACTTTCAGCCAAACCAACCTCACAGGGTTACTGTTTTGATAGGATAAAATGGCAGAATGGAGAATGATGTTGTAAGCCATTTGGGGTTCCCACTGGGAAGAAAAGAGTATAAATATCTACATAAATGAAAGATTAACGTGTATGTCAGTTAAACTTAACAACCCTGTTGGGTAGTCCCAGGGAGGGCTTCCCAAAGGCTTCCTAGTGAGTTTGTGGCTGAGATGACCTTCAAATAGGCAACTTTCTCAGATTACGGTCTGTTCTCTGAGCTAAAGGAGAGGTAGACTGCCTCTGTCTATGGACACTTCATTTAGCCATTATGGCTAATAGCCGTTGATGGGTTGCTGCTCTACGAGTTTGCCTGAACCTTTTTCAAAGCCATCTGAAGATAGCAGCCATGTAGTAGGAATTCCATAACAATTCCCTGCTTTGTGTGAAGAAGTACCTTCTTTTGTCTTCCTTGGAAGCTGGTGCCAGAGTGACAGTTTTATGAGAGAGGAGGGAAAATTTCTGTGCACTTTACCAACCCTCTTTCCAGTGCTCCCTCTAAGCTGTGGAGTCTTGTGAGCAAAAATTCTACT